TTACAAAGATCTCCCAGGTAATATACAAGTATATCGAGGATTCTCGAGGAACGTAAACAGAATCTAATTTCCGTCCGTCAATTGCGGTACCATGAAATTTTGCATCCTGTTTTAATACATTGACAAACTGAGTGGAACAAGGAATGCGATGCGCTATTACTATATCTCGACAAACCGGAAGGGAAACCGTATGAGTTCGTAACCAGCTTTCGTCACCCGTAGCTCATAGAAGCGACACAAAATCATTATAATCACAGTTCAGTTCTCCGCATAATTGCGCGGACTAGCACAAATATTTCTACGGCTCGATAGAAAAAGATATAAGTCAAAATGTCTTGCTTTCTCTCGAAAAGATAAAATGATTAAAAAAATGGGATATATCCATATCTCCAATGTTAAATACGATATCATCATTTTTATGACAATGCGATATATTGTATCAATTTAGTACGTCTTTTTATTGACAATTTATTTCGAGGTGAACAAATTGACTTGTATAAAGCCTTTTTATCGAGCATCAAAAATAATTTTACAAAATTATTTGCAAGAGATAATACTTTTCTAGATAATAACAAAGATGTGAATAGACATGAATATTAGTCTACTATGCTCAGAAAACGTAGAGTTTCAACTTATTGAGTTTATATTCTAACGGAAATCATATTCTAACAATGATTTTATTTATTGCTATTATACATTATTAAAATTTGCATAAGTAAAATATTTTTTTATATATTCTTTTATCTATCAGTATTTTAGATTAGCTTCCCTAATAATTATGAATACACAATTACGAGAGAAAATTCTTATACATTTGTACAAATGTTTTCAGTAAAACGACGACCCGTTAGAACGTGTCTTGCACGAACTCATTTACTCGTAAAAATCAAGCAGAATGTGAGTGACAATTTAAATTGCATGACATAATTTTTCTTATATAATTGATAATACATAAAAGCGAATGAAAACTCTACATTTCTCGCGCATACTCACATTTATCCACATCGTCGGGGGTCCGCACATTAGAAAAGCATTTTAAAATTCCAACGCTCTCTCGAATTACCGCGTCGCGTCGCGTCGCGCCGCGCCACGCCGAGGGGACAGCCGTGTCCGTGTCCGTGGTATCGCGGGGATCGATCAGGGGATGATCGCAGGACGATCGGAGCTCCGTCAGTCCGTGTCAGTCGATTATCGTCGATACGTGCGTTCGCCGTGTCGTCACTCGACATCGATCAGCCAGACGGCGCGGTCCAGCCGAGAAGGCGTCGCCGTCGCATCGCTGACGGCGATCATCCTGTTCAGGGTCCTCGTCTCCCGCAGCAACCGCACGCTACCCTCGTAAGTCGTCGGACGGTGTTATTGCGAGGACGTCCGCGGTGGTTGGCCGTTGGGCGGCGGCGGGGGCGGGGGCGGCGGTTGCGGGTGCACCTGGTGGGACAAGAGACTGTGCGCCTGCACGTGGGCCGCCGCCGGGTGGTGATGGTGATGTTGATGGTGATGGGAGTAGAAGATGGGCTGCGCCGTGGTGGGCGCGCACGAGGTGCCGACGCCGACGCCGACGCCGACGCCGACGCCGACGCCCACTCCGACGCCGACCGAGTGCGACAGGGCGGAGGTCGCACCTACCGAGGACGGCACCGGCGGTCCCGGCGGTCCCGGCGCCGACACCGACACGCCGGCGGAACCGCCGGTGCTGGCTGACGCTTCGTGGTACAGAATCGGCACCCTGACCAGCCTCTGGGTGGCATGGGCCATGTTCGCCGCCTCTAGCTCAGCGGCCAACTGCCGTTTCCACTTGTTCCGCCGATTCTGGAACCATATCTTCACCTGGGTCTCCGTCAGCCTGAGCGAGGCGGCGAGACCGGCGCGCTCCGACGATGAAAGGTAGCGCTTCATGTCAAACGTGCTCTCTAGCTGGAACACTTGCGACCGAGAGAACACTGTCCTAGTCTTCTTCTTGCGCTTTATGCTATTCGACTCGCGACCGTCTACGCCAACCTGCACGTTGTTTTGACCGTTACTATTGCCGTTGCCACCGCCACCACCACCACCGCCGCCGCCGCCGCCGCCGCCGCCGCCGCCACCACCACCACCACCACCACCACTACCACCAACACCACCACCACCACCGCCCACCGAAGTGCCATGGAGACTCGTCGACGTCGACTCGCCTTCACCGTCGGCATCCGCACAATCGTCACCTTCACCGAGATCGTCGTGCGCCTCGTCACCACTTGATGGACTCCTCGCGCGGTGTAGACGATCATCGCCGTTGTCATCGTCGAGTTCGTCTGGAGGAAGATACACGTGTTGATTTCAATCACCGTACAGCTTCTCTATTTATAAACTGCTTTTCAATGTAAAAAAAAAAAAAAA